TATATATAATATATATATATATATAAACTATACATCTACATATATATGTATATATACATATACATCTACATATACATAAAAAATACAATGCATAAATATATGCTTACATCTATACATATACTTTGAGAGGCAATTAAAGAGAGAATGAGGTCCTGAAGGCATATACATGTACATATATGTACATATGCGTATGCATACATCTCTAGAGAAGCAACTATTATTCTGAGCGAGTGAGAATGTCAGGAAACTCTAGTGGGACCTGGGCATATGTATCGTATGTAGTATATTCTCTAAAAAATATACTATGAATAATAATAAAATTAAATGAATAAAATAATGTCATATGTATTTCTTGTGATTCGTCACCGAAAAGTGTATTTATTTACAAATGAATGTTTTGGGCATTGGGCAACGGGCACTAAAGATTCTTCAGAGTAGTTCAGCCTTCAAACTTCAGAAAGTGATGAAGTGATTGTTGTCGAGTGTCGAGTCATCAGCCACTATTTACAACATAGTCTAAACAGTATTATTAAAATAGTATGTATAGCATATTATACTGTATTGTAAATAATCACTAATCTCACGAATCACGACTGAGTCAGTGACAGAGTGATATCATAGTCTCGCTATCTTTTTGCCGTCGGGACTTGCGCGCACTCACGCGGTATTTATGTATTTATGACTATGTAAATACGAGTGTTTGTACTTTGTAGTTGCCGTGCTTTTTATAAATAAATCAGAGATAAAAGCATGTTGTTTTTGTCTCTGTAATGTCAACCATGTTTACCTCCGATTTAAAACAATGTTGGTGTTGTAAGTACCGAACTGTTCGGTAATGTTCCTGGGCGTTAATAAGAGTGCGAGAACTTTTAAGTGTGGGCGATAACTTATAGGTGTGAAAACTAATAAGTTTGAAAAGTTCGAAGTTGTATTGTACGGTTTGTTGGCAAACGGCTGCGTGGGCTCGAAAGAAGAGGAGGTTGGTGTATGATTGGTGCTTTGTGAACCGAAGTGCGGGGTAATATGAGCTGGAGGTTGACAGATGACGATATATATATGTTAAATGGACTTGTAGGCTCGAAATTGTGTAGATACACGATTTGATTGGCGGCAGGATTCTCAAGGGAATCTTTCGGAGATGGTATAAATACGTGGTTTAGTTCATTCAATAAGATCATTCTGCTATGGTTTATTCAACTATCAAGGAAATAAAACTAGGTTCACCGTTACATTGTGTTTTGAGTCGATCAAGATTACATTTTTTTTTGGTTATTAAATACTATAATTTTATAACATGTGTTTGACTTGTCACTTGACAGTTGGCTAAAATAGAGTGGATTTTTTTTATGAGATGTACTTCAAACTTCATTGGGGTTTTTTTAAATATTATTTTTTGAAGACTTATTAATATAAAAAAAGAACAGATGTACAATTGTACATTCCCGAATTAGTTTTATATCTACTCATGAGCACATGATTTAGCGAATCATTGATAATTATCGGCTTGTGAGTTGGAGGGATGGCACTTATTCGCATTCAGACTCCCAATGCCATTTATCTCTAAAATCTTGAATTCTCAGCACAATTCTCAAAGGAGGAATAAATAAGCATATCACATTGATGTGTACATAAGTTTATTGTCTGTGCTACCGGTGCATTTGCAAGTAGCGTTGGTCCCTAACTTCCTCTTGTTGGAAGTAATAATTTCGAACAAACTTCGAAGCCGAGTCCAACTATGAACTGTAAACACACCAGTGTCAGGCGTTAGCCTCCATTCAAGAAATCCTGAGACCAGTAATGACTGATGATACCTCAGGGCTCAGGGCTCAAGGCTCAAGGCTCAAGGCTCAAGGCTCAAGGCTCAAGGGCCATAGTGCCGCCAGGGGCTCAGACCACTCTGAGACATTGTGATTTGAGACTATCTCTCTCCAGGGCCCAGCTATTTATTTTTTTAAACAAATACGTGATTCCCTGGAGATTCGGAGAGAGAAATAATATTTTTAGACAAAAAAGAAAATCGTTCGTCCTGTACTCCGGATTCCGGAACCGATTTTCTCAATATTGTTTTTAAAAAAACAATCTGAATTTGAGAATTGAGAGCGTACAGCAAGAGTAAGCTGCAAGTCACTGCAATCAGAGTATCAGACTCTCTCACGCTACTCTCTCTCTCTCTCTCTAGAGAGTAGAGACTTGAGAGAGACTGTCCAGAGTCCAGAGGCCAGAGCCCGCCAGACTCGCTCCAGAGGCCACACTTATCAGACCAGTCTCAACTCTCACACAGGGGGTCACAGTCTCACACAGTCACACAGTCACAGAATCACAGTCCCAGGTCCCACGGACCCACACTCCCACAATCTACAACTCTACATAATTAAATAACTGTCCAGTGGGAGTCTGTGGGACAATGGCGCTGAAAGTCAGAAAGTGAAGTCACTGAAAGCCAAGGGATGACTCATTGCCGCATGCGGGAAATTGTCAAATTGGGAATTCGGGGTCCGACATGAGTCATTTTTATTTATAAGCATTAGTGGAGGACTGGAGGTCAGCGGAAATCAAGGTTTCATTGTCGTAGCGGAAATCGAAAATTTAGCAGCGACCCAAATCCAGAGGGCCGTGTATTTTTCTTGAGAATGTAGACTGTAGAGTGGCCCTCTAGAGAGAGTGTAGAATGTAGACTGTAGATTGTAGACAAGGAGGTATTGAGTTGCGTATACGGTATAAACCGGCAGAGAGAGAACGAGGTTTATATAAAAAATAAAATATATAATATAGGTATATATAACTGGCACTTTCTAACTGTATATGAGCTAAATTATACCCGGAGGCTGTTACAAGTAATAAATAGTATCTATTCAAAGAGGTATGCTAGGGAATTGCAGTAGAGTGGTATCTCGTACAGCCTTCAACTATCGAACCAGTTTTACTCATCGAAGCTTGCAATACCCGCTGACTAGCACAATTTACACTCTGTCTGGTGTACACCAAAATACACTCTCGCCGACATCCAAGCACTTAGGCTACTCTAATAAACACGTGGATACATTTCTTGGACTCAATCAGCCTCGCATAATCCGCAGTATGACCACTGATACTGAGACTGTAGACGTGCCCCTGCAAGTGGCAGGGGAGTACGGGTACTCTAAGACTGTAAATCCGGAAACACATGTGGGCGGTTGGCTGGCTTTCCGGGGTGACCCAAATGTGCCTGCGTCAGGGCCTGGTAACAACTGGACAGATGAGGTAGAGGTTGACCAAGCGATGGAATTCAGACCAAACGGTGTGTTGCATTGAAGAAGAAAAAAAGGCAATGGCGTTCGTGTTCAGTTTTTCACCCCCGTGTGTGATACTGTTTCTGGCTTCGTGTCTACTGCGTATATGTATGCTCGTGTTTGAATAAATCGGGTCTGGGAGCGTTGCAGTGTCTTATCAAAAGGGAGTATATATATGCACCTGCCAATATAATCATGTGAACAAGCTTGTTTGATTATTTAAACGATGGTTATCACATTTTAACTACGACGTAAGAATACATACAATCATGCATATACATATATATATATATATACATATATATATATATGTGTGTGTATACTTATTTATTTATTTGTACTATGTATATATATATATATATATATATATATATATATATATATGTGTGTGTGTGTGTAGTATGTAT